CTTGCAAAGTTCTTTTGCAGCATATTTTTATAGGTTACATAACCTAGAAACTCAGAATTGAGTGTAAAAAACCCACATAATTTTATAAAACATCAGAACAAAGTCTCATCTAATTTTCATTTTGTAGAAAACTGTTTAACAAAAGGCATTAGAGTTTTTTACCTAGACCTTAGACTTTCTAAATACAGCAAGGGGGGGGGTTAATATTAGGTTGTCAGAAAAGTCATGACATATTTTTGTCTGTTTTTTGTTGCAAAAGTGCATCATGACTTTTCCAACAACCCGATATTTAGCCTTATACAAAAGACAAGTGCCTTTCCTGATAGTATCAGTCTTTAACCATTGGTACCTCTTAACTTTAAAAACAATGGGAACTAGATCATATTCTCTTGCCAATTAATGTAAACTAATCATAACTTGTAGGTCTTTGTCTATTAATATGCAATTATGTATAAATTATTTTAAATGAACAGATATGTGAAGGCAGAACACAAAAAAGATTAATCAAAGGATATATACAAATATGCAAAGCATACATACACTATGTGTGGTGTTTAGCTATGAATTAGCCCATTCATTTCTAAACACAATATCTAATACTCCTTTTTCGTGGGATGCTTCAGCTCTTTGGGCATTTTTGGTCCTTAAAAGACAGGGAGATAATGAGTCCAGGGAGATTTCATGAGTTTGAGTCTGAGGGAAGTTAATACAGTTCGGGTGATTGGAAGCAGGTCCGGAGTTGGGCGGTCAAAGACCATGCCCTGCACTGACCCCAAGGCATACCGGTAGTACCTAAACTTAAAGGACACAGCTCTAATCATAAAAAAATAAAATAAAAAAAAAAAAAGCGGCACTCCTCCTAAGAGGGGACCAATACAAGACCAGTAGGATTCCAGCTACCTCCCCACAAACCTTTAAAGAGGCTTACAAAGCAAACAGTTGCTAGGCCCATGGCACAGACAGAGAGGGTAACAGGAAGTCGTTAAAGAGAAAGCGAAGCCTCCACAGCCAAGAAGCTTGAGAAAGGTCCATGCAGTTCTGATCCTATTTACTTCATTTCTGTCCCAACCCACAGGCTCCTCAGATGTTTCTGCGCCAAAATTCTGACCTTGGTTTTCTTTTTCCTTTTTACTCTATTCATGCATCCCAAGGAGGGCGCTACTAGCATTTGGGTGGAACAATTCATGCCTGTGTTGGACATCACACCAACTGCTGGGTGTCTCGCACCTCTGGCCTCCACCTACTCATGCCAGGAGAGCCCCCAAGTCGCTGGGGCAGCCACATATGCATTTCCAAATGCTCCTAAGAGGTAAATACAACCAGCACCACCACCACTTAAAAACTACTGTTACAAGCTCTAGTATGTCATTCAAACCTGCAGTGTTGAGAACCACCTATGTGACTGAAATCTACATCTCTAGTCAAGATTTTTCTCCGTTCTAATCTGATTTTCTCCTTTCAACTAACACACCTTCCCCTCCTGCCCCACAGTAACTGCAGACTTGCCCAAATTTGAATTCCTTATCTCCCTCACTAAGCCCCAACCTGTTTCTCTTGTATCCTGGCCAACACAACCACATCCACAGTGAGCCAGGCAGAAGCCTGGCAGGCCGACAAAAGTCCTCCCTCCCTCTCACCAAGTCCTCAAGAGTCTATGTTCTAAACATCCCTCAAGTCCGATCAGGTTCCCACCATCTCTGGCTGGTTACTGAAATGGCCTCAAATCTCACAATCTTCACTCTCTCTGTAACCCAGCAAACACCATACTGTTACCTCCCAGGCCACCACCTCAGTCCCCTGCTTAATGGCTCAATGTTTCCATAAGCCTTCAGGAAACAGTGAAAACGTCTCAGCAGGGCACACAAAGGCCTTCACCATCCACTCTCATCCCCACCTTTGATTCCCACCAGGGCCCTTTCATTCCCACCAGGGCCCTTAAGCCCATAACCTCCAGCCTGACCCAAACCTGCCCTTTCAGGGGAAGTGCCTTCTCTGGGATGCTTCTTACATCCATGCTGCACACATGCTGTGGATGTTCCACTGGCCACCTGAGGACTAGCAGCGAGTGGGCAGGTGCCACCAGCTGATATGCTCTAGAACCCAGGCACCTTGCACAGCAACAGCTTCGATTCATGTTGACTGAAATGAACAATTTCTTATAAAGAAGAAAGGAATTTAGTAGGGACATGATAGTGATAAACACGCACACTCCCGGAATCAGAATGACCTTCTCCCTGCCTATTTTCAAATAATGTCATCTTACAGATAAGGGTTTCATAGTGTTATTTATGGGCAAACCGTGAAGAACCTGAGCCACTATAAAGGGGACCAGATGCCATATTATTAAGTTGATTGTCAAGCACATTCTGACCTCAACCTACATTAAATATCCCATCACCTGTAGCTACAATTTTTCACTGGGTAAAAGTAAAAACAACGGCGATAGTCCTGATTATACCACACTTAACAACGCCACACACAATCAGTAATCCTAATTCAGACACTGACCATTTGTTTTGTTCAAGATTTTATCTTACATTTTATTAGGACTATAAACTCTTTCATGGGTAGCACATTAAATAGTTACCACTTGAGTCACTCGGAGACTAAATGCTGGAGTTCAACAAATAGGCATTACATAATAAATGGGCTTTGCAAATCTTCTGAGCACTTTGCATTTTAAAACGGCTGTATCTGAAATGAGTGTTTCAAACTAAATCAAATAAGCTTGCGTAATGTAAGTTATTATGATACAGACATGATTATCATGAGGAAACTGAACATTCTTAGTTGGAGTGTATTATCACAGATCAAATATCGCAAAGGCAGCTATTCAAAATTAAAGCATTGCATTTGAAGTAAAAAAAAAAAAAGGAGAGAAAATTTCTTTATCTTTTAATGGAGGCTGAGAAGTTACTAAGTTTTGTTTTGAATAAAAAGTAGGAGAAAAGGTCCAGGATAGCCCCTTCCTATTAGCTACTATAGAAATAAAAATGTTTAAATAAATTCAAAAAAGATCTAAATTTTGTAAATGATAGAAATTAAAATCAAATTTGAATCTATAATTTAAAAGAAATGACTTCTTTCAGGGTTAACCAATGATGGATTTTTTTATCCCCATTTTATGGATAAGAAATGAGCTGGAGAGGTAGCAACCTGCCCAAGGTTAATCAGGTACCCAGAGGAGAAACGACTGCTGGAGCCCAGTCTCCTGAACACACAGACAGATGAGCGGTGCTGTCAAAGCCAAAGACTTGAAGGATTCGAAGCATCCTCAGGTCAAGAAGAACCGTTGTTATTTGATAATCAGAATTTACTAAAAGCTTTCTCTGGAGCCATATATATAAATGGCCATTTATATATACACTGCAAGTAGCTGACAAATGGCCACATGCTTCTAACTACAATCCCACAGTGGAGTAAAAACATGCACCCAGGGTTTTCAGAAAGCATATTCTAATTAAAATCATGACTCACACTTTACAGTTATCAAAACCATAATAATTCTTGATAGCGATGGTGCTAATTTGGAACTTTGTTTTCATTCAACCAAAGTACAAGTTAAAATGAAAGAGACTCGCTTTGGAACCTGAATACCTTTTGAATAGGGACACACCATCTAAGGCTCTTGTTCTGCCCTATTCAGTGAAGGGAGAAAAGAAATTTCATTTTTTCCCAAAACTGGCAAGACTGGTACCAAAAGGACAAAGGGGATGACCACACGCAGTAACCCAGCTTCTGAAAGAGGACTTCCAAGGTGAAGTACGCACCACCACCCGCACGCCACTGGCCCGCTGTTCCCTAAGGCCCAGCCGGGCCTCCAAACATTTTTAAGTATCCATGTCAATAACAAGATTGCTGGCATCTTTTCTTGTGCCAAAATCTGGCTAATGAAGCTGCGCTAGTGTCATGAAATATTTGGAGATCTGACCACAATTTCCATCTCTCTGAAGTAGCCCCAGCTCACATGCTCATCTGTTCAGCATGAATGTTCAATCTTGTAGCTCAAAAGAAAAAATCTACCTGTACACAGTGATGGAGCCAGCAGACACCAACATGTTATCATCACTGTCAATGGGGCTCTGCCCTGAAGTGACCAAAGAGCCCTGAAGTGACAAAAGAACAATGTCCAGACTCACAAGGAATACTTCGTACCAGGGACAGATTCAGTCTCTGTGGGCCCTGAGACTGCACAATTTCCAGGCTCCCTGTTTAAGTAAAAATGAGGCACAAAGCAAACACTTAAAGGTGCCCTTGCAAGTGAGAGGCCTTGAAGCTTATGCTTTATTAGCTGTAGAGGAAACCCACCTTTGACTTAACCACATAAAATTGCCAATATTCGATCTATTTTGACCTACCAAAATAGCAACTTCCTATGGTTCCATTTAATACACTGCTGGCACAGAGTTCCAGTACACACGTGGAAGGATATAAGAGGTCACCACAGGTATACTGAGCTCCGGCACTCATTAAAAATTAGGAGGAAAACTCTTCCAATCGCGCTTATGGAATATTAAATGGGAAAACCTACAGAAATCATGATGATCACTATAATTATGGTCACTGCATTTTAAAAATAATATTGACATAGATGAACAAAGATAAGAATATGAAAATGTAAACAAACGTAATTTTTGTATTTGAACGGCATGATTGTGTGAATTACTTTTTTTCTTTCCCAAATCAGTGTTATATGTTATATTATTGGCATAATTAAAAAGTAAGGATATTAGGGAAGGAGGAACGAGAAGAAGTGGGGAAAGAGAAGGAATGAAGAGACCTAAGATATAACCGTCTGCTGTGACAATTACACACTTAGCATCTGTTTACACATCAACAACCTAAAACACATCTTTAATTTAGTTCAAGGAATAAAGATAAAAGCCAACTAATGAGAGACTTCATTCCTCTAAAGGTCTTCCTTTTGGGATACCACAAATGTTTGTCAGTAAGTAATGTGTTGTGTTGGTATAACCAAAGACAAGCTGAACTAAACTTACTTTTTGCTCGCCTCACAGACATCTGTAATATTGGAGAAAAGATGGTGACTCTCTGTTTTGGTCATCGTATCACTCAGTTCTTTAGAATTTTTAAACATTCGTATCAAGATCTCCAAGCTGAGTAAATATGAATGCTCGGAAGATATGACTTCAAAGATAGCCTGGTAAGAAGGAAAAAGAAATGCATTATTAATTCTTTTAATTGAAGAACTAAATATAGCTCTCATAATTCTATTCTAAGAATGACATACTACCTTGAAAAGAACAAAAAGATAACCATTCAGAAAAATGCATCCCCAAACTATTATCTTTATTATCTAAGGCACTCATACCCAAATCTTCAGAAATAGAGTCATTGCCCACAGTGTAAATATGAACAAATGAAAGCATTCGGATGACTTGAGATTGCATCGCGAGGTCATGCTTGGCAAGGAGCGGAATCCAAGAAGGAAGCTAGGCCATGTCATCAAATCTCAGTGTCACGCTAATTAACCTTTAGGGTCATCTCCTCCAGCCCTGCTTTCAAAGCATGCTGCTCTGGGACAGTAAGCATTTATGGACATCACTTGGGATTCAGAGAAAATTTCTCACAAACACATTCCTTCTTTCCCCTCTCGTGCGGGCCCTTTCTCTCCCTCTGTTTTAACCCAACTAATTTGCAGTCAATAACAGCACATATTCTGGCCGTATTAAGAGAACATGACTGTACCTACTCTCCAAAGGCTCTTTATCAGCCACAGGAATTCTTTTATATAAACTCATACAAATTGAAAGTAATTCTGTCCGTTCAATAAGCCACCACCTCTGCTCTCACCAGGGTCTCAAGCAGCAGCAAAGGACCCTCTGCAAAAGCTCTTGGTGTCAGGCGCACAGTGGTGTTCCTGATAAGAGTTCATTAACAAAGAAATACCAATCCACACAGGTAGATAAACACCAACACCCTGTGTATGGAATTCATCTAGCTCCTTAACAAAACCAACTTCAGGTCCTCCAAGAATGGCAGCTCAGGAAGAATTCCCGCTCAGGGAGGGGTGGTGAACATCCCTGCAGGCCTGAGATTGACATCTTTCCTGGAGACCTCCCCAGTAACACGGCCATCATCACCTTGGCCTCCAGGCCTCCTCCTTTCAAGCCCTTGGCCCAGGAGAGGGTTCTACCCGTAACTTCCTGTGCTACTGCTTAGGCTGGATAGAGGCAGGGCAGGCAAAGGCTGGTAGATACCCAGCTGCTGGTGGGTGGGCCATATTGATACATCAGATTAGTGGTGCTAATCTCAATGTTCACCTCCCTTTTTAGCATCCATAAACTTTTAGGGAAATCTTACTTAAATCTGCTGGTCTAATCCTGGTTGTGCTCAAGGAATTTCAAGTGATATAACTATCTAAAGAGTAAAGAGTAAGAACTTTAAGAGTCTCACTTAACCTGTGCCTTGTGTAATTCTATTACACATTTATCAATCACCAGACAATATAATGCAAACTAAAGAAGATTGTCACTTCCTAACCAAAAAGAATGGATTGCACGTTGCTGATGGATACGGTGTCTAGGAATGACTTAAAATATTTTCAAAAGTAAAGGCTTTTATAATCAAATCAAAAATACTAAGATTCGAACAAAGAGATATAAGGAACTATACAGAACAGATCACAGGAAAAGATGACTAAGTGGTAGTTTAATATAATAGGGTTCGTGTAATAATTATTTAAAACACCAATAGAGCCATCAACTATTTAAAAACAAATTAGGTTGCCCTTGCTAATAGCTATATAGGAATAGAAAGGAACCATAAAGTTAAATTTGCTTCTGTCATTAGTTTTTTTATATCACAAATCTGAATAAATATCTTCAAAATAGAAAGGAAATAGCACAGGTTCAAATAGAAAAGGTTTAAATAAAACAGAAATGTTCAAATGGAAATAGGATCCTAAAGAAGCTCTTGAATTTGTCCAAAAGGAGAGAAACACTATTTATACCAAAATATTAACAATCAAGAAAAAAGCATATCACCTACTGTCCATCATTTGGAAAACAGATTTGTAAAAAGGTGGTATTTATAGAATGGAATACTATATAGCAATTTGAATGAATAATCTAGACTAATATGTATTAACATGGATAAATCTCAAAAACAATGTTGAATATAAAAAGTGAGTAATCAAAAAATATGTTCAGAATCATATCACTTATCTACATTTTAACACACATAAGCAAGTATATGTATATAAACATATGTAATACATGAGTTAAGAACACAGATTAGAAGGAATACATCAACTCATAATTATAGTTGCCTCTGGGATAAAGAACAAGGGAATGGGGCTTAGGAGGATAATATGACTTCTGCTTTATTGAAAGTCTTATTTTCTTTACCTTAAAAATATGTAATACATTTATTAATTGTTAGTGATTGGTACATCAATGTTATATACTATTCTTTATTTTAAGAAAAATGGTATTATAATGTGCCCTTACATTTTTGCATTATTCCATACCAACGAAATAAGAAAAGGATACCTCATGACCTGTGTGGAGTTAATGTGTGTGTGTGTGGGTGTGTATCTCCCCACACAAACATGCATAAGAGGAGAGTGTTTTGAGAACTTCACAATATTATTACAATGAGCAATTTTCTTAAACTGCATTTATTTAAATTTCAAGTTGTGAAACTTTATTATTATCTGTCTTATTTTTTACTAAGTGAAGTTTTTTTTTGTTTTTTTTGTGTTTTTTTTTTTTTTTAAGATTTTATTGAGGAATTCAGGAAGGAGAACAGCCAAGTTGTTGTCCTTTAATCTTAGTTGTGAAGGGCACAGCAAGCTCAGCTCCAAGTCCAGTTGCCATCTGGCCGCCCAGCGGCAGCTCACGGCCACTCAGCTCAAGGTGTCATGTTCAGTCTTAGTTGCAGGTGGGCAAAGCCTACCATCCTAGGTGGGAGTTCAACCAGAAACCTTGTTGTTAGGAGCACGTGCTCTCACCAGCTGAGCCATCCTGCCACCTGTTGGCCGCTCAGCTTGGGTGCAGCTCACTGGCCCATGTGGGAATCAAACCGGGAACACTGTTGCTCAGAGCTCGTGCTCTTAACCAACTGAGCCACTCGGCCAGTGCTTAAGTGAAGTTTTATCTTGGTATAATTTGATATTCATAGAAATCTTGCAAAGAGGGTTCAGTGTTTCTGTGTTTCATTCAATCCATCTTCCCCTAACCAGGGTACATTACATTCTGTCTATAGACAAATGTATATACTTTATTCAGATTTCACCAGTTTTTCCACTAACAGCGTTTTTCAGGTCCAGGATCTAATGTCTGTTTCCTTTTTCAACATATTTCTTCTAGTTTAACTATCTGGGCCAGGTGCTATGTCGTTTAAGTTAATTTTGGGATATTTGTTGGGGTATTATACATTTTTCTTTTCTGAGGGCTTATGTGTAGTTTTATTTGACTGATCACATATTGCTTTTGTAAAAAAGAACTCATTTTGTTCTTTTTATACATGTATTCATTGTATACATTTTCAAAGGAAAACACGTGAACAAGTGTATATAGTAGGTTAAAGCACAGGCACTCTTCAGAGCTAAAGCATCTTCTTGGAAGAAAACATACCTCTTGTCTCTTTCTTTCCTCCTGGCTAACTGTCTGAGATAATCCATTTCTTTTCACCTAGGGGGAAAGACAAAATAGTTCTGAGCTCATTCACTTTAACAAACAATTTCTTTATTATGGAAGGCACAACTTTTAAGCCCTTCAAAAATGAATTAAGAGAAATTATGTAAAATGTTGAACTCAGCACATAGGAATTTTGGGGTCTCACACCCCTCAAATAATATTTAATCACATTAGTAAATTAGCACAGTTCAATAATAAAGAACTGAGAAGTGTCTAGAACATTAACCTATCAGGATGAGCTAATCTGTTCTAGTTTTAGTTCTGGATATTCCTAAAATACTTATCAAATTAATCTCCCAAATCATAAATGTAGAAATCTAACAGTAAAGAAATGAAGCCACCCCTCTGAGGTTTACTGTCCAGGATCGCACAATGACAGAGTCATTTTAACACCATTTTTCATAAAGACTCCACGGAATATCAATGCCCTTTATAAAAACCCAACCAAAGAAGAAACCAAACTCCTCTGCCCCAATTTCTGCAGACTTTTTGGCATGTTTAATTTTGACAAGTAAGAACTATCAACATGACTTAAGAAGCCACAGAACCCACAAGAACCAAGAATATCAGTGCCACACTTAAAATATTACAGTTGTATCATTTAATTGAGTCAGTGTCATCATTATCTCAATTGCCACACATTTTTATTTGCTTGCTAAAGTCCCTGACCTGAATCATAATTCCGTGTCTAAACCACAGAGTAGAAGCTAGACTATTACCTCCAAGAAAGGAGGACCTAGTATCTCTTCTGGTGCACCTGGCACTGAGTCTACATATGAAAGACATACATGCTTTTCGTTAAAGATTAAATTAGCAAAAAGTAAGACATAAGTAAAATACCAACCAATTAAATCCTGAGCTTAAGAGAAAGAAGACCAGTGAAGAAAGACAGCACCCTCCCCGTGTTAGAAATGAATAGCAATAAAATAAAACAAATAAAATGTGATAAAATATAAAAGTCTTCAAACATTTTTGCTCTCATACTTCTTAAATTTTTTTTTTAACAAAACATGTTCCCCTAGGCCCATTTTTAAGTTGACATCTCAAATTTTTTATCCTAAGTTTAAAGAATTTTAAAGGTGCATTTTCCTGTTAACTGTCAAGCTAGACATTTTTAAATGTGTTACTGGACTCCTAAACGTATCCAAAGGAATGTAAAAACCATACTGATTTGATATCTACCATCAACCATTTAAAAATAAATAAACTTGCCTTAAAAGTGGTGATTTTACACTAATCTTTCTCCTTGAAATCAAATTTCTATGTCAATTTTCCCCCAAAATGTCCTACTCTAATACAATTCTATGTGTTAGGGTATCTGACTAGTCACCACAGTGTACTTTGAAGCAAAAACATGTTTTTAAATGTAATTTTCTAAAATCTCCTGTGACCGTTGCGCTTTAAGTATAAAAGAGACTTTTGCGGATTATACAATCACCACAAAAATCACCACAAATACTATGAGCTACCTACGATCAAAACAACACAACTACTTCCAATTTTAATGCATTAATCCCTTAAGCATAAAATATCAGAGACTGCAACTCTTAATAAAATGGGGGGTTGGGCCGGCCGAGTGGCACGATGGTTAAGAACTGGCTTGGAACGCCAGAAGGCCCCAGTTCAGATCCCACATATGAGGGCCAGTGACACTGCCCTCCACAGCTAAGATGCTGAACAACAGCTCAACCTGGAGCTGGGCTGCCGTGAGTCGCCGGCGACAGCGTAGGCTGCAGCTTCTGTGGCAGTGGGTTGCCATGGGCTACCGTGTGTAGCCAGCAGCCAGCGTGAGCGGCCAGCAGCCGCAGTGAGTGGCCATCCAGAAGCCGGCGACTGATCTGCCTCACCGGGGAAGAGCGCAATGATGGTGCCAACTTGGGCCAGTGAGGCAACGTCCTCCACAACTAGACTGAAGAACAAAATGACAGCAACTTGTCGGTTCCCCTTCCCCCAATTCCCCAATAAAAATCTTAAAAAAAAAAAAAAAAGATGGGGGGTTGGTTATGGCGGCTTAATTAAAGGAGGCTCCACTGAAACAAATATTTCAAATTTACCACCTTTCATTTTGTACCGCAGTGGTTTGACACTTTGGGGCAGTGAACCCTAACGTGAGCTTTGAGATGGGCAAGAGAGATGCCTTTCTTTAGGAAAATACCAAAGGTCAATTGTGAAAGGGGAAGTTGGAAGAAAGATATGGTGCAACACTTTAATTGCAGATGCATTCTCAGTGTTAGAAAGGAGAATAACTAGGAGGAGAGGATCTGAAAAACGGTAGTCTTCAAACTATTCCTGTCCACCTCTCATGAATTCATGAGTTCCAGGGGTGTGATGCATACCCTGGTGTGAAGACCACTGTGCACAGGTCTTTATATCATGCTGTCACAGAAACAAAGACAATTACATGTTGCTGTCATTAATTTAGTTTTTGGAAGGAGTTAGAAAGCAGTTATATAAAAATAGGTAGAGCCCATATCAATGGTAAAATCAGCAATCATTTACTGAACATTGACTGTATGCCAGGAAATGTGCTAAGCATTTCATATCTATTTTCCCAGTGAATCCTCATAAAACCTCTAGAAAGTCGGTACTACTCTCATCTTCATGTCACAGATGAGGATAACAACTGAGTCTTAGGATCCAAGATCACACAGCTAGTAGGTAGCAAGGCCAAGAGCTGCATCTGCACCTGTCCAACTCCAGGGCTCATGCTCTTAATCATACTAAATGGGTTAAGGTTGGGGCTCCCCTACCCCTTCCCTCTTTAAGAGGCAACCCATTTCTACGGTTGGGCAATCACCACCAAAACCCCTTCGAATGCCAGGTCTGTAGCAAGTCTCCATACATCTTTTTTCATCCACCCATATCATGGAACATTCTTAGCTTTACCCACTATCCCGACCCTGGGTCAGCCTGTCAGCAAGAATTCATGGCTAAAAAGGTTCCTTCATACATTTTAATAAGGGAGGAGACCAGCCAGAAGAATGAAACTGTTCAGAGCTTCTCCCGTTTGGTTAACCCTGAGCAGGAATTTCACAGTGTTTCCTGTTTGACACACAGTCCTGGCAGATCGATATCCAGGCACCATGCCCACAGTCTCTGCAGGTGAGGTCATCAGCAAGAATTTCCACACCACTGGCATCTCCATCCAAAACGACTAATGAGTTCAGACCCGGAAATCTTAAATGGAAAAGAATGAACCATGTGGGCGTAGAGACCTATACAGATGACAGCTAGTTTACTGAGGGATTAAGAGTACTTCATCAGATTGCAAAAGAAAAAAAAAAATCCCCAACAAAAGAAGTTGGTCTTTTGAGTGGGAAGAGAAGGTAGTTTTTAAAAAGGCAAAGTATTAATGTATAGAATTATATCTTTCACGAAAACTAATACAAAAAAATGATAAAATATTCCTTTTACCTAAAAAGCCATTTTAAGAAACCAGTAGCCCATATAAAACTACTGTTATAGAAGAAAAAAAAAAAGATTCCAGGAATCATTACTGGATCATAAGAAAAACTGAAGTATAACACATTTGGGGAGCCTGAAAGTTTGCTCTGGGGAATTACAAGAAACCAGTTTCTCCTGACTGGCTGCCAGACCACTGTTCCAGAGCCTGTCCTTCTGTCTCAGCCCTTCCATACCTGCACAGGGCAGGCTGGACAGGTTCTTCCTCTAGAGCCAAGGGGAATCATGTTGTCCACCTGAGACCTCCTTCCACATGCAACTCTAAATTAAGTAGTACCTGAGAGCAGGTGCTTGCAGGTAGTAAGTAGGTCAAGAGCAGGCAAGATTTCAGAGACTAAGGAGTTTGGAGAAATGAAACCAGAGAAAGGGGGAGAGGGTGATATAAAAAGAGGGCCCCACAAAGATTGGCAGAAAGCAGAGAAGAGAAAATTGGAGAATGAAAACAGGAGCAAGTATCAAGCAGAGAAAAACAAGGAAAGAGGGAGGGAGGAATAGGAAGAAAAGAAGAAAAAATGTGTGCCAAGTTTTTAATAGTCAATTTCTCTGGAAATTTTCTGATTCAAAAAATGACCTTATCAGGAAACTTAAGTAAAATCTCTGAAAAGCCCATTTTTTTGGCATTAAAGAACGTATGTGTATAAAAGTATATATTTGTAACTATAGTTTAAAATCTTACATGCTTTCTGCATGTTTTTGCTAAGAGAATCTAAAATATTACATTTATCACATTTCTTCAAGTGTTCCCCTTGTTTACATGTGTAGAAAGTTAAAAAAAATAATAATATATCAGCTTCTCAAACTGATTCCTATTTTGCTATCTAAAATTTTAAAAATAAATAAAATTGTACGGGCTTTTTTATTTTTTAAATATGTATTTCCTATTGGTAGCACTGGCTGAGTCCAAATGGGAACACTTAGACAGTCAAAGCAACACTCCTTTAAAAGTCTCTTCCAACTTCGCCAGATCTTTCTTATTCCTCACTGTCTCAGCCTGGCCTAAATTTTTTATTTAAGTATGTCATCAATAAGTAGACTTGCGAAAGTAGTTTAATGAAACACTAGGAATTGGATTCAGTTTGGGGTTCTTGATTTTATATAATCTAACCAATTCACAAAACTGTTCAAATCTTGTTTTCCAAGGAGAAAGTATGAATGCATGTCAATATCTTCAACACTGTTAGTAGATCAAAATTAATTCCAATAATACAATAGAAATGTAGCCCAAGACCACAGCTCTGACATCAGTTAAAAAATATGAGCATACATATGTGCCTTGTCAGCATAGCAAATGCAGAGAACTCAGTAATGTTATAATAGTTTTAAATCTGTAATTATATTTTTACTGCTGTAATTGGCATTGAAATTCTTTTTTTTTTAATTTTATTGGGGAACAGCCATGGTCATTGGTTACACATTGCTTTCATGCTATAATGGCATAGTTGACTCTTTTAGGGACGGTGCAGCTCACAGTGGCCCATGCGGGGATCAAACCGGCAACCTTGGTGTCATCAGCACCACGCTCTAACCAACTG